GCTTGGGGGGACATGGGGGCCGGGTGGCACTGGCTGTGCGGGGGCCAGCTGGGCGCCATGGTGGGAGTGGTCCCTGCTCCGGGGTCCCTGCTCCTTCTGCCCACCCTGGTGTTCCCAGAGCTGGTGGCTCTGGGGACATGGCCAGGAGAGGACCCCACCGGTCGGAGCTCTTGCCTCTCCCAGTATGAGCAGGCGCCTGGTCCTTTGCCTGTGCCCAGCTTCAGGCAGCAACTCGAGTCCACACCTCCGCTCCTCCACAGCTGTCCGAAATGTCTGTGACCCTGATGAGAGACCCATCCATGCCAGCTCTTGGGGTCACCACTCTCACCCCCTCCTCCACTTGCCCGTCGCTGGTGGAAGGACGTTACAATGCCATGGAGGTCAGGTAAGAAGGTGGCCAAGGGGTTCGGGTGATGCCTTGGCATTGCCTGAGCAGGGCAGCTGTACCACTGGGACGTGGTACAGCCACGTTCCCCAGCCATCACCCGGCCTCTCCTCCCTCCCCAGACCGCCCCAGGTCTCCTCCAGGGCAGAGAGCCCTGACCTGGAGCCTACAGCAGAAGGAGAGCAGAAGAAGTCCCCAGCCCGCCGGCCTGAGGAGGAGAAGGAGCCCCAGCGTCTGCTGGTGCCCGACATCCAGGAGATCCGGGTCAGGTAGGAGCGTCTGGGGCAGCCAGCAAGGGGAACGCCTTGGGGCCTCTTGGCCTCCTCGCTGTCCATGTCTCACCCTCACCTCGGTCCCTTCTGCAGCCCCATCGTCTCCAAAAAGGGTTACTTGCACTTCCTGGAGCCTCACACCAACGGGTGGGTGAAGCGCTTCGTAGTGGTCCGGCGCCCATATGTCTACATCTACAACTCAGACAAGGATGCAGTTGAGAGGGCCATCCTCAACCTCTCCAAGGCCCAGGTGGAATACAGCGAGGACCAGCAGGCCATGCTCAAGGTAGGGCACTGGGAGCCAGCCCCCCTCCATGCACCCCCTCGGGCGAGGGACTCAGCCTTGGCTCTCCCCTGGCAGACCCCAAACACATTTGCGGTGTGCACGGAGCACCGGGGCATCCTGCTACAGGCGAGCAGCGACAAGGACATGCACGACTGGCTCTACGCCTTCAACCCTCTCCTGGCTGGGTCCATAAGGTACCGGGGTCAGCTGGGGGAAGGGGGGTGCAGGGAGGTCATCGGTGAGGGCTCCGTGGGCAGCTGAGTGTGCTCCCTGCGCAGAGCTGTGCCTGGATGGGCTCTCAGCCAGCAGAACTTAGACCATGTTGATCTTGATTTCAGCTCCTCCCCACTTAAATGCTTCAGTCTAGGGCCAAGTCCCCACTGGTACAGAGGTGGTGTTGTGCTGACTTCAAAGCAACATCCGTGCCCGGGGGTCCCTGCAGGGACACTGGCCCTGCACTGTTCTTGAGCATCTCCTGAAGTTCTTGAGGACTCTCCGTGTCCACATCTCTTGACATCTTTTGTCCCTCCTTTTCCAAATCAGATCCAAACTGTCCAGAAGGAGAACAGCCCAGATGAGAATCTAACCTGAAAAACACCCTCCACCTCATCCGTCTGCCAACAGGATCAAGATACCTGATTCTGTCTCAAGACTCCCCATGTTAACGTCTGATCTCTCACACCATCTGCTGCCCCAGCTCTCTGCTCCATGGAAGGATCCGTCTCGATTCACACCTCCACGGGGGAAACTCACTTCCGTTCGTAGCTGCAAAAGCCTGAACCCGCCTGGGCAGGATTTCTCGTGCGCGTGCCATCTTCCGCCCGTCCCCCCATGGGTGACCTTCATGTCACAACCATCTGTAACGCTCCGGAAAGGTCCCTGGCAGAGGAGAGGGAGCGAGGAGGGCGGTTTCGGCTAAAAGCTGGTCTTTGATCTACAGAGGTGGGAGTGCAGTAAAGCTCGGAGGTGGGAGAGCAGGAGGAATTGCCTCTGCGCGAAGGGAAAGTGTAGTTTAGGCATGGGGATTTCCTGGTTTATTGATGTTTCTGCAAGAGACAGCAGGGCAAGATCAGGTGTTGGTAGTTTAAGATGATATTTATAAAGTATTTATTTCTATTTATGTCACAAAAATCCCGTAAGTTGGGTCCTGGCCCCTGGACAATGCCTCCCCCAGGCAGGGGAGAGCCTTGGCGGTGGCCGGGGTCCCGGAGATGCCTTCCCCGGGACAGCCCTGGCACGTGCCCGGCGGCGGCGGTGGCGGTGCCCTCGCTCCCCGCCTTCCCCAACCCTTCTGCTTTGCCCCCCCTGCAGCTTAAACTACTCCTCCCCTG